CTTGTAAACCTGGTTACCAAGGGGACGGCCGGTCATGCTCAGGTATTGCGATATTTATTTAACTCTTTCCTACTTATTAGTAAAAATCTCCTTTTTCAAATACACAGATGTCGATGAATGCACAGCAAGCCAACACAAGTGTCATGCCAGTGCAAGCTGTTCTAATACCGCTGGCTCGTATACTTGTGCTTGCAATCCTGGTTACCAAGGAGACGGCATTTCCTGTTCAGGTATCTTTGTAATTTTTTTTCTTCTTTCTTTTTTTCTTATCATTCAGACTCCAATTTTTAATTCCACAGATATCGATGAATGTGCAACAAGCAAGCACAATTGCCATAGCAATGGTGTCTGTACCAATACCGCGGGCTCATTTACTTGTGATTGTAAACCTGGTTACAAAGGAGACGGCCGAAACTGCACAGGTATTTTGCATCTTGCATCTTCCCTTCCCTTGCCATGTTTTGTTTTATTTTTCTTCTCCTTATCATTTAGATCCCACTTCCCGGGTGGGACTCCCTTATAAAGGTTGGTAGGTATGCTCGACGGACCTTTTAGGGTGGAAAATAAAACCCTTGCGTACCTTTTAGGGTCCTGAGTTGAATCCGTACCTTTTAGGGTCAATTTTCGAACAAAAATTGAAAAAGTGCAAATAAAGAAACGACATTGATTTTCTGCGGTTTGTTAAACTTGATCTTTTCTCTTGTTAAAGACGTCAAAAATGGTCGTACCGTTTAGGGTCTGGAATCGATACTGAATTAATTTATGCGTACCTTTTAGGGTCATTTTTCAATCTGTCCGTCATAACTACCATCTTTTATAAGGGAGTCCCCCCCGGGTCCAAATTCTCAATTCCACAGATATCAATGAGTGTACTACAAGCCAGCACAATTGCAATGCTAATGGCCTCTGTACCAATACCGCGGGCTCATTTACTTGTGCTTGCAAGCCTGGTTACCAAGGAGATGGCCAATCATGTGCAGGTAAAGTGGAATATTGACGGGTCGTCAATTTCGAGGTCGAATTCTTGACGTTTAATTGTTTCGGTTGTTGTCCGATGGTAAACACAAAAGATATCTATTGATTTTCATTTAAAATTTTGACAGATATCAATGAATGTACGAATGGTTTCCACAAGTGCCCCAGTAATGCAAGCTGCACCAACACTGTGGGCTCATATACCTGTCAATGTGCAAGCAATTCCTATGGTAAGTACAGTGCAATAGGTATAGACAGAAAGAGACTTTTCTTCCTTACTGTCTGGTTCCTAATTGTCTTTATGTCTTCTATTAACTATCTAAGCAAGTAGATAATGCAATGTTTCCATAACTTAAGGTTCTGTCACTGTCCAAACAAACTGTGCCAACTACTCTAGCTTTAGCAACTACTGTGGACGTATAACATCACCTGGATTTCCTGGACGGTATACTGACTTCCTTGTTTGCTACTGGAAGCTC